TGATAGGGCATGAAAGTGTGACGTGAGATGAAAGGAAGATCAAAGATGGGAAAGACGGTCAAGACTGCGAGCTCCTTCCGTGGGAAGTTAGGAGTTTAAAGGAAGCAAAACTGGGCCCGCTCCCCCTCTCCCAAGCACGCCCGCGCCTCGCCCTTCCCCCTCCGCTTCCCACCAGGCGTGTTACCTTTGCCTTTCTCTCTCCTGCGGTCCACCGGCCCTTCCTTTGCCTCTGGAACCAGTCTCGTCAGCCCACCTCTTCTACGGCCCCTTTTTACTACCTCTGTAACGTTCTAAATAAACCTCTAAAAAAAAAAAAAAACAACCCAGCAGAACTGATGTTGTAAAAACCTGGGCTTCAATATTTATAGATTAAACCCAGCAGAGATTTTGACCAGTTTCCAACTGCTGATTCCCCCTCTCTTGGTTTAAAAAGCATATAGACTGCCGGAATTTTGCCCAACAGGAAAATACAGTAATGGAAATTAAACTCACCCATCGTCCCCTCGTCTGGAGATAAAAGGACAGGCGCATCTCCGAGGAGACGCTGAGGGTTCAGTTCCAGACCACTGCCAATAAAGTGCATCCTAACCTTTCTGCTGGTGGAGCAAGTGTCTTGTCTTCGGTTTGTTTGAAAAAGAAAATCTGTGAAGCACTACAAAGCGAAGCACTATAAAATGTTCTGTACAAGTAACATTTTGGCATAGTTTTCAGGAACTAAATCCACTATATTTTCTCCCCTCCCTGAGGGAACATTTTCTCTGTATTTGTATTCTGATTTTTTTTTCAGTGAAAGTTTCATCGTAAGCATGTCCCTACATCACCAAATATTCTTTTTTTTTAGACATACCCACCTTCCTTTTTTAAAAAGATTTTATTTATTTATTTTTAGAAAGGGAAGGGAGGGAGAAAGAGAGAGAGAGAGAAACATCAATGTGCGGTTGCTGGGGGCCATGGCCTGCAACCCAGGCATGTGCCCTGACTGGGAATTGAACCTATGATGCTTTGGTTCATAGCCTGTGCTCAATCCATTGAACTACGCCAGCCAGGACCAAACATTCTTTATGCAGTTCTTCCAACTGTTCAGTATTCCATCACAGGGGTATACCACTGTAACTTAGTCATCCATTAGTGGTCATTTATAGCTACCATAAATAGCTCTGATAAAAGAAGTGTTATGATGTTCAACTCTGCACCTAAATCTTTGCTTCTCTTATTCTTTCTTTGGCATAAATCACCAGCTACAGAATTATTCACTGGTCCAAATGAGTGTAAACAGTTCGAAGGCTCTTACACGTGTTGCCAGATGCACATTTTACGCATCTGCCTCTCTGAGCTTCCAGAGAAGTAACAATTTACTTTCCTCTCTTCACTCAGCTTGTCAATTGCGTCACTGTTACAAACCCTGCCAACTTTCTACAGCTTCTTTTTAAAATGTCACTTTTTTACTACATATGGGCTAGAGTTTGTTATTTGTTGAAACAACGTTGTAGGGGGAACAATTCAGACTGGAATTTTTGTGCGCCCACGTAGACCAGATGCTCCCTTGTTTACTGCCACTGAATGCCACACCCTTGCAGTGTAGGTGGTGACCTTTCCTTGTCCAATCCCGTGAGACTGTGTTTAGGGACACACAGTTGGTCTGCTATATGGCCTGGATTGGTACCCAGATCGCTTGACTCAAATAAATACAATTTGTTTACTTATCGTACTATACCTCACCTGCCTCCAAGACTATTCTTTGTAAGAAACTCTAAAATACATTTTAAGAGACTCTATACTATTATTTACAGCTTAGCAATGTCTTAAAGTTTCTGAGTAGAATAAAAATGATCAAACTGGAAAGTCAATAATCACTCCGGAATTCTGCTTTACCAGAAGACACCTTGGTCTCCTGCTCCTTGTCTGGTCGGAATGAAGGGCTGTCCAACCAAAAGGCCCAAGGGCTTGCTCTCTTTTTGCCCAGATTGGCTGCCCGTGTTTGCGAAGGGTTGAACGTGGGTGATGCTGCTCGGATGGCAGGCACTTCAGCCCACATGCAAACTACAGGTGGCACTGAATCATGTGTTCTGTGTGTGCGTGTGTGCGTTTGTGCGTTTTCTTATGGCAAGTTTCAGGGACAGTGAGGCTCTGTACTTTTACATTTCTGGGCAGGGCACGTCGAAAACTGGCTCCTAGATCTTTAGGCACAAAATAGACACTGTAGCAATTTCAGGACCGTCTGTTTATGCGTGTTGGGGACCTCATCTGGGTCCAGGATGGGCCCGGAGCTGAACAGTCCTCCTCTTGCAGCAGGGGAACCTGCTGCCTTTAGCCGCGGTATCACCGCTGGACTCCATCACAGCGGGGTGGCAGCTTGATCCCCCACGTGGGCCAACAGCAGGAGCCGGTTTTATTGCTATTTCTTTATCATTTTTAATTCATTGGGGTGCGATTGGTTAATAAAATTATATAGGTTTCAGTCATACACTTTTATAATACATCATTTGTATATTGCATTCTATGTTCACCCACAGGATGCAAAATCGAGCTTCTGGCTCCCGCCAACACTCACTCTTTCCCTAGTCTCCGGCCGAAACGGCCTCCCACCCCACCCCGCGCCTGCCCAAAGCTCAAGCAACCTCGCAGCCTGCAGCAGCACTGGGCTCGGCTGCCGGCGCGCGGGGCGGGGCGCGTGCGCGGCTCGGGGGCGGGGCTCGCTGGGACGTGGGCGGGGCCTGCTGGAACCTGGGCGGGCCCGGGTTGGCCTGGGCCGCGATCCGACCCAGGCCCGCGCTGAGGCTTTTCCTGGGAAGTAGAGGCATCGGCTCTGAAAGAGTCACCATCATTTACCGTTTTCCTCCCTAGAAGGAAGTCGAGGGTTCCAGCCCCAAGTGTGCCAGACTGTTCATTCTGCTGGCATTTATGAAGCTTACACAGTACCGTGTTAAGAGTCGCTATGATTTTGGGGTGTCATCTTCTACCAAGCTTGGCGCTAGGTGCTAGGAATCCAAATAACTGTAGTCATCACCAGCCTACTTTAGAGATGCAGAAACTGAAGTCTGGAAAGATTAGGTCTTATCTAGGTCACACAACTAGTGAGTGACAGTTCATCAAGTCCAAGTTTCCTGCTAAATATCCCTGGAGCCCACCCCACCGTGCGCTCGCGCTGCACCACTCTGTCCCAGACCCCTCCGTCTCTCTGCTCCAGACGACCCCGACCTCCCACCTGGCCCGCAGGGGTCTGCTTCTTTCCCTGTTCGGTCTGTTCTCCTCGTTATGTACAGATTTAGCCCCGGAGATGGATGGGTGGTAGGTTTACAGAGGGTTCATGTTGTGACTGCTTTATACTTCACATATGTTAGCAAGTTTTTGGATGTGTTTAATGTTTAATTTAAGACGTTTTAAAGGGAGGGAAAAAAACCCCTAACTTTGGAGCTGGGTTCTAACGCTGTTCCTAGCCATCACGGTCTCCTCCAGTTGCAGTGGAAAACACCTGTAACCTCCACGGCCAGGAAAGCCTCTCCCAGCAGCAGAGGGGAAAGTGCTTAGAAACACTCGGAGGGGAACGGCTTTGAGAGGGGAAGGCTGGGGAGAGAGATGAGAAGCAATCTCAGGGCCGGAGATGGGGTGAACTGGGACGGAGAGGGTGGGTGGAGAAATTAGCCGAACGGGAAGCTCAGAATAGACGATATGAAAGAAAGTGCCAACTAGTGAAAATACTGCGAAAGGATGGGTGGAGGGGGGCCAACGACTGGGGATCGGTTTAGAAAAATAGCAATTAGCACGGCTAAAAATAAAGTCCAATTTAGAGACAAAGCCCAATACACAAGGAGAAAAATAAGACTCGCTAGAAAGGCAGTTCTTCGTAAAGCAAATGCTCAAGGAAATGGGGCTAATGATATCCCTTTGGGGGATGTTTTGCAGAAGAAATGAGATAATAGATTAGAATGGGGCGCGTGGCGCTGAGCAGGTGACTAGCGGCGGGAGAGGGGAAAAAAAAAATCAGATTCAGAGCGCAGTCGAGCGCTGAGCGCAGTGTCCCGACCGGAAGATGTGCCACGTGTCCCCAAAGTTAGAGAACTGTCCTCTGCCAGCCTGTGTGCAGGGCAGAGGCATTGCTCTGCGCTGGAACCCGTGGAGTTTCTACGGAAGTCCCCCGGAGGTCCGCCACTGTAGCCTCAAGGCCAAGGGCAGAAGACGCCCAAGTTGCAGCTTGAACGCCGCGCAGCCGGGGAGAGGGTGCCCACCGTGGAGTCTCGGCTCACTCCGCTTGAGGGCACCGTGCGGGGCCCGGACCCTGGAGACACCCCGCAGGCATTCGCTGCCGTAGGAAGGCCCAGAGCCCACGGAGTCGCGGGGGGGCGGGGGCGGGTGGCAGGCCCAAGAGCTCTGGATACTGGATACTGGGCGGGGGCGGAGAATCGAGGAAGCGAAAGCCCTGGATCACACCCGGGTTTTGCAGAACCACGAGGCCTCGGCTTCCCAGTCTGTGAACCTGGAGATGACCCCGCCTGCCACCCGCGGGGAATTTGTGCAGCACCGGTCCCCAGAAAACACATGGAGAAGGGCACAACGGATAAAAAGTTAGGCACAAATGTCGTACAGGTGGCCGGGTCCACCCCTGTCGGTGCGCCCGCCGCATCGTGCCCGTTTCTCGCGGCTGCAGGGAGAGAGCAGGGCACCAGGGTAGACACTGGAGTTGGGAGCCGGACGGGCGGGGCCCGGGGCAGCATCTCCCGCCAGTCCCGGAGCGGCGAAGGGACTCGGGGCGCGCGAACCTCTGGGTTCCTAAATCCCCGGTAGCGCGGGCTCTTTCAGGGCGAGTGCACTCATCCCAGGCGCAGGGCCGGGTCCCAGGTTTCGGAGAGTCACCGGGCTCCGCCCTGGCCCGCCCTGGCACCCCGGGGCGGGACCCCGAGGCCCTCTCCGGGTGGGCGGGCAGGAGCACGGAGTGCGCCACGCGGCGTCAAGTCAGAAGGGCGGCGGGGCGGGGGCCAGCCGCGCCGGGGCGGTGCTGAGCCGGCTCCTCCTCTCCTCCGCGTCCTCCTCCTCGCCCTCCTCCGGCTCAGCAGCCGCGCGCCTAGCTGCACCACCTCCCAAACCCGGGCGCCCGCGGAGATGTTTAACCGCGCGGTGAGCCGCCTGAGCAGGAAACGACCGCCGTCCGGTAAGCTGCTCCCGGGGCCCGCGGGCTGGGGGGTCGGGGCGCCCCGCGGGGCCTCGAGGAGCCGTGGGGCATCCTTCCCTCCCTCCTGGACTCGGGCGCGGCTGGGCGATGCCGCCCGGACCAGAACCCCGGCCGCCCGCGCCACTTCTCCCCGCGCGGTCCAGCGTTCCTGTGGTTCCAACCGCCGTGGGAGCGCGGAGCCCGAGAGGCTTCTGGGGGAGGAATTTTGGCCGAAAGGAGGAACAGCAGCAGTTTTCTTTTTAGTGATTGGGAGAGAAGGAGATGCAAAAATACCTCCAAACTTTGCATTTAGTACGGGCTCTAGACTTCCAAAGCAGAACGTCGTGCGGGTCCCCGGGGTCCTGGAGTTCTCTGCGCTGCAGGCGTTGGAGCGCAGGACGCCTGTGCGGCGCCCGGAGGAGGCACGGCTTGACCCCGGGCATCTATCTGCCTGGGCATCCGGGCTTTGGCGCCTTCAGCCCTGCACCACCGCGCCTCGAAGGGGGGCCGTGAGGGAGCGTGGACATCAGGGTGGAGAGGGCCACCTCTGTAGTTCGCGCCAGGGAAGCGCTGACATTACAAAGGTATCGCCTTGGCTGTCACTCGGGACCACCCTGAGCTACAATCTGGGGCAACCTGACAGGACAGAAAACCTGGTGAAGATGAAACCATGCCCTGGATGCCAACCTTTTTGTTCGTAATAAAGGCTACGCCCCTTGGAGCGCTTACTGTGGGTCCAGGTCTGTGTTCCCCCTTCGGACAGCCCCGTGAGACAGACAGCGTCCTGACCACCTCACAGAGGGAGGCAGTGGAGCCAGGGCCTGTTAGTAACTTGCCCCCCCCCCCGCCCCCACCCAACACACACACAGAAGTGGATACCTCACCCTGGACTTCAGAGGCTTTTTCCCCTGCCTCCCACTTCCAGAGTGCCTTCTGCTTCAGTAAGAGTCTGCACATGTCAGTCAGTCCCTACCCTCTTTCCACCGAATGTCTTTTTATGGGGGACACTGCGTTTAAGAGGATGGGCCCGCATCCAGACTGGCTGGGCCCTCAATCCCATCTCCACCACTTAGGAGCTGGGGCACCTCTGTGTGTGTGTGTGTGTGTGTGTGTGTGTGTGTGTGTGTGTGCAGAGAAGGTTCTGCGAGATGGAATGATCGTAGCTACGCCTTTTAGAGCACTTAATTGGAGCTGGTTTCCCATCCATCAGGTTATGCAAATCGTGGCAGTCAGTATTTAGGACAGCCCTAATAAAGGAGAACTTCATCGGGCGATTGTAAGGAGCTTGTTTGAGTGCTCATGGTCATGTAAACATTGCCTTGTGGGCTGTGGGTCAAAGCAGTCCCTTGTGGGTGCTCATGTTCGCTCTTCTCTGCTGGGGGATGATCTCAGACCTGGGGAGCAGTAGCCAGAGCCTACACCCTGGAGTGAGACTCCCGCTTCCCAGCCTCACTATCACTTAGCAACCTGGGCCAAGTTCCTCGACCTCTGAGCCAACTGCTAAATTATCGAAAATTTGGGTGCTGGTTGCTCAAGCATGGCTAGCTTGAAATTGGCTATCGCTGGATATTTATACCAGGGAAATTGGCAAATGCTAAACATCCAGCTTTTTTTCTGTCTCCCTAGGGAGAGCTGGTTTGCCAGTACGCCTCTGTGTCTGTTCCCCCTCCATAAAGTGAGTTCCACAGAGTTGGAGGATTAAATACGTACAATGGATGAAGCCCCTAGTGCAACGCCTGGCACGCAATAAGTGCTCACTTATGGTTAGTTGTTATCCTCCCCCCCCCCCCGCCCTCTGTCCCTGTTACAATGGAGCTGCTGTGCACAGGTTGTTCCTTGCTGTGGATCATTGTGGGTTTGAAGTCTCCAACAGAAGGACCGAATTATGGGTCCAGGCATGGTTTTTAGGGTACTGGTGCCTGTTGGCAGGTTGCACCCCAGGAAGATGGGGGCAGTTTTAGGGGTACTGGTGGAATATTCCTCTCTCAGGAACACATTTTAAGGCTGATGAAATGTTGTTGGGTCGCTGACAGGAAGATCAGTAGTTACCAGTTGTGATTTGGTGTTGGATGCCTGGTGTCCAAGGGCCAGATTTCTGTATGATGTTTAGGTTTAAACCCCCCCCCCCAAAAAAAGGACAAATTAGGTTCTGCCAGTTGGTCCTCACCCAGCAGGGGAGAAAGAAGGAGCCAGTGAGAAAGGGGGAGTGTGGGCCCCCAAAGCACGGGTACTGCTCACAAAGCCAGCCAAGTGACCCACAGGACCCTATACGGATTTTCTCTCTTTTTGGTGATTCTGAATTCATGTTCTTAAAGTGGCCCCATGAAGCAGGGTCCACCCCTGCAGGGCCCCTGGTTTGGCCCCGGCCGAGGAGGTCCTGTCTCCCACGGCTTTTTACTCTCCCAGAGGTGTCCAACCTGCAGCCCAGGATGGCTGGGAATGCGGCCCAACACCAAACCATAAATTTACTGAACACATTGTGATTTATTTTCGTGATTACATGTCTCAGTGTATTTAATGTGTGGCCGGAGACACCTCTTCTTCTTCCAGCGTAGCCCAGAGATGCTAGAAGTTTGGACACCCCTGCTCCTTTCTGGTTGGAGACTATGTCTTTAAGCTGAGCGTTTGGGGTTCCCAGCCCCTTATCCTCCTTCCTGAGGTTTCTCAAAATGTGTTCACCAACCAAGTGGGGGGAGATGGGGGAGGAGCTGGTAAAATGCAGCTTTCCAGGCCGCACCCCAGACTCACTGATTTAATCCTGGGCACCAGGGCTGGAGAGCGAGAGGTCACGTCGCTGAAGTGTGAAGTCCCACTGAGGGGTTCTGCCCCCCACCCTGCCCCCCACAACCACCTGCACTGTTGCTAGTAACCACAAAAGCAAAGCCAAAGCCACAGCCCTGGGGCCAGACTAAGGCCCGCCAGGGAATCCCCACCTGCCCGCCAGGCCTCGGCCCACCCCCGGGCCTGTTCTGCATTATCCCACTAAACTTTTGGGACCCGTTTCAGATTTATTGCTGGGCTTAAGTTTTTATTTAAAGATGACAGTTGACATAGCAATTTCAAGTCTTTGTTTTAACAATCCAGCAGCAGAGCAGGATGGGCCCCTGGGGAAACTTTCCCTGCAGAACATCCCTGGCTGGGGCTTTGGCGTTTAGCGGGGAGGAAACCAGGGTCACAGAGAGGCCGGGCAGGGCCCAGGGGGGTCACTGAGTTCGGGTGCGATCCATGCCTAGCTGGCGGAGTCCGCGGTGCCAGCTCTGAGCACCACCGAGGGCGACCTGCGGACTGGTGGCTGGAGAACCTCATGGTGCTTTACTTTCACTGCCTTTGTAGTTGAACTGCTGTCTCCGATCCCCACGGTTAAGGAAACCTAGACAGGTGCCCATTTCCTGGGTGAACTGAGTCACTTCCCCCTGGGGTTGAGTAATCCCCTCAGCCCCCTGACGCTGGGCTCTGGGAACTGGTTGTTTATACTAAATTTACTCTCACCAGTTTCTTCTGCTTCCCCGAGATAGCCTCCCCGGCAGCTGCCCCGGGGGGTGGCTGTGGGGGCCTCGGGGGCCCCGGCAGGCAACAGCAGCAGGTCCTCGATAAGGGCTGTCGGGAGGTGGACACTGCAGTGCAACGGTCCCTTGCAGACTTCCTGGGACAAATTTCCCTTCCAAGCAAGTTCCCATTTCTTGAGGGCCCTGCGCATGGGTCAGCTTTTCTCTGTCCGGTGCAGGGTGCTCAGGGACCCCGTCATCTGGCCTGCCCAGCCCCGTTCCCCTCTCACCCCAACTCTGCCCCTGGATGACTAAACCGTCGTCACCTCTGTGCCTTTGCTCCTGAGGCCGTCCCCTGGCCAGACCCGGGCTCCCTGCGCCAGCAAACCTGCTCCTCCAGGCCCCCTGCCTCCCTCTCTCTCTGCCCCTGAAACGCAGCCTGTCCATTTCAAATTCCCTGGACAGCTGCGGAGGCCACCTGGGGCAGGGACCGGGCCGGAGCCTCCCCTTTCACAAGGGACAGACAGAACCCAGAACTCAGATCTCTGACCCATGTCTGGAGCCGCACAGACTCACACAGTATCCATTTAGTCACCGCATGAAAATATATTTAGAGAATGAGGATGGAGAAGATGACTTCTCTCTTTCCTTCCTGCCTCCCCGCCTCCCTTTCTTCTTCCTTTTTTTTTAAACTCCTGTCTCCAGAAAGGACATTACAAACAAACACCACCATCACCAGCCATCTTTACCATTGCCCGGACGCAAGGATGTGTTAGGGCCCCAGCTAGTAGGAAAGATACAGTCGGAAAGATACAGTCGGAAAGATACATGTGAAGGGCTGTTCTGACGCACAGGCATCCTCTCACACGGTAGGGGGAGAGGAAGGCCTGTCCTCCTCTTCATAGCCCTTGAATTTTGCACCATGTAAGTGAGTACAGTTATGTATTAGAAAAACAGAAAACCAAACCACCAAAACCCCAGACTGTCTTCCTCTATCCACACAACTCACTTGGTGAATATTTCCTTATTCTCATTCTTGTCTCTTCGTGGGCCGGTAAAGAGAACTCCATGCTTGCCTGTGGCACTATGTGGACAGACGGCCGGTCCTGTGGGAACTGTTGGCCTCATCGCAATTAATTTTCAGTTCTGTGAGAAAAGGGGCCCCACCTTTCATTTCTTGCCCCTTCCGGCCCGACTACCTCAGATTGAATCCCAACTCGTCTGCTTCCTTGCCTGCTCCTTTGTAGCAAGTGATTTCACGGCTTCGTGCCTCAGTTTCCTCATCTGTGAAATGGGCCTACAGTGCACTCACCTTCCAGGGGTGGTTGGGAAGTTGGGATGGGATCTAGTAAGCGCTCAGTGAATGCCAGCTGTTTTTATAGCTGTCATTCCCCTCTCTGCCTTGCCCCCCAGTCTGTCAGACAGACACAGCTCTCATGCTCAGCACATGCACCGTCTAGGCGACCCATATGGGAGGGACAGAGCCATGTGCCTCGAGGTAAGGCTCAGGGGAGA